TGAAAGACGCACGCAATTTGTACTGTGCCCTGCAAGGGCTTTCATGCTTTGAGCAGCAAGAACCCAAAACAAACTGCTGATCAAGGGACGGGCGCTCGCAGCAGCTGTGGAGCTTCTCACTCTCCAAACATGTCAGGCGCAGCGTCCTGAGAAGAAGCAACAGCAAAGACAGTTGACGAACAGAAGAACCACTTGGCGACACTTGAACTACCAAACCACTTGTCTGGTAAGGTTCAGCCGCTCCAGCCCCAACGGCGTTTCTGGAGCAGGCTGCTGCAACATCCAGTTGGCGCATGCATCATCAGAGCCGCCCATCGCCACCAAGTACTCCTGCGCCAAGTTAACTACCGGCTGCCCCATGGCGTCAGACAGTCACGTCAACTGTCAGACGAGTCAAGTGTCAGTCACACCTTGAGCCCACACTTTGATGCAAAAATCAGCCGTCAGCTGGCTTGCGTCCCAGGCTGGTACAATCTCACTGTCAAAAATTGGCATGACTGTTTGCATTTGCTTCATGTGGGCGCAAAAAGTCCTGTCTACCCTGCAACGCCTGCAACGCCTGTGCAAATTCCAAAACGAGGCCCTGACGGAATGCTGGACAGCAAGTGCCCCACCAAGCCCGACATCGGCGTCAACCTTGCCAGCGGCAATGATGGCACACAAACACAATTACACAACAACCCTGGCCAAGCCGTTCCTGCCACCATGATGCTTCGTGCTCAATTCAGCCCACGCAAAACATGCAGCTAAGAAAGCAAAGCTCTTCCACTAACATTGGATATTTTTGACCAAGCCCCCTCCCAACCCAATGGCGTCCAAGGCCTGAGCAAGGCCAGCAGCAGCAAAGCACCTGCCAAGCTCATGAGAAAAAGAAACTGACATGTCATGATGTCACTGCTCAAAACCACACTACTCCAGTGGAGGCAGCATCCAACGGCATGTTTTCATTTCACGCTTGATGGTAAGCGATCTTCATCAGATGCCATGTCTGGCACAATACTGTACTGGGCGGCGCATTAGCGGCTCGGCCCTTTGACAAGGGATCATGCAAACTGGGTCTTTGGTGATTCGAAAGTTGTAGTGTTGAACTTGGCACTCCTTTCAGCGCATTCGGCTTGTCAGTGTGTGTTTCTTTTGCCTGAAACTGCCTGCCTTTTGACACCCAGACCCAGTTCAGCCTCCCCCGCAAACGTCAGGCGGAACGTCAGGCGGTGCGTCAGGCAGCATTGTCAGGAGCACGTTGCCGGCTCACCAACGACCCCGGCCAGCCGATTCCTCAGTCAACCAGCAGCAATCCGTGATGCAGAAATGCAACGGTCTGTGTCTTGAATGTGAACCATGCCAACACGCAAGCAAGGCGCTGGCTCCCACTGCCAGGTGTGGGGCTCCCAAGCGTCTCCCTGCCAACTTCCTCCTCGCCATGTTTCTCCGGAAGCCTTCCGTGCCGAGCTTGACGAAGTCGAAGCATACCAGGGCGTCTCCTCCTCTGAAGCGTAGTGGCCTCAATCAGGAATTAAAATGATGCCAAGGGCAGGCACGCACTCAGACATCTGACATCTGCTAACTGCAGACACAGCGACTGCACCTCAGCTCCTTCATGCGGTCCCTCACATGAGCCGCCACCACCGTTGAAGGGTACTTCCAGCGCCTGTGCTCCGCATCTGTGACCTCTCCTCAGCAACCACTGGGCGAAGCACAGTCAATCAGTCAGTCAGACAGTCAGTAGTCAGTCAGTCACTGTCATGGGTTGCTGCCAAAGGCACGTGTCATGCTTGGAACCAGCTCCAAAGCAAAGCTGAGCCCTCTGTCGCTGTGCTGCACCAGCGCCAGCAAACCCTTGGTGCCGCATACATGTCACGTCAAAATTAAATGTCAAGCTTCAAGCCACTTGCCACCACCTGCCCTTGCTTGAAAACCGAGCCACTGCGCACACAGTGCTGTCCAGATTGAGCTGGTCAGCCGCCCAGGCGAGGGAAGGCGCCAAGGAAGCCAACGTCTCCTTCACCACCTGGACAATAAACTTGACTCTGCGAATCATGAAAATTCCACTGCTTCTTTGTGCGCACCAGGTAGTCATGCAAAAAATGTGGGAAACGTGGGCAATGTAAAGCATGTTTCATCAAACAAGTATGTGAAATTTAGTGTTTCAAGCCAGGGCACTTGGTCAGGCGTCTTTTCAAGCGCCTCCGGCATGGCGGTGTCCTCCCGCATGGTGGTGTCAGGCTCGGGGCGGTCAGGCTTGGTGCCATCAGGCTCGGTGGGGTCAGGCGCGGTGTGGTCAGGCGCGGTGCGGTCAGGCGCGAAGTTGTCAGGCATGGTGCGGGTAGCCGTGGTGTGGGTAGCCGAGAAGCTTTCAGCGACAGGGCCAAGGCTAGGGTCAAGCATGACCAGGTCAGGCAGCAGGACGACAGGCGGAGGGGGATTCATCAGGCTTTTGGCCTCCAGCAGCCAGTCCTTGATTTTCGGGATGAGAAAGTCTGGGAGGTTTTTCCTGAAAGTGTTGAGGTCCTGCATGGAGACAGGCACCAAACTCAAGCGCAAAGGGCATTGCCCTGGCGAAACAAGTTGCAAGTGTCGTCAAGCCCGTCAGCCCGTCCTCCCTCCAGCTCGGCAGCGCTAGCTCCATTCGAAAGCAGCATGCCAGCAATGTCGCCAAGGCCGCCGATCTGTGTCGCCCCTTGGTGCCTCAGAAGTCGGCAACCCTACATGCCAAAACCGCCATGCAAAGCAATGAGAACCAGAAAAGACTGCCACTGCATCCGCAAGGCAAATCAGCTGCAGGCAGACCAGCAATCTGGTCGATTCCATAGCCGCCGACCAGCCCAGCAGCAAGCACGCCAAGGTGATGAAGCTGCTCTGGCATTCCCTCTGATTGGTCAGCTCCTCGAGCACGCTCGGATCGTAGGATGGATCTCCTCAGCTACATGGACCACGCTTGCTCACTCCGACACAATGCAACCCAGCATCTTTGATTCGAAGTGACCATACTCAGCATCGGCCTGCGCCCCAGGGTCAGACTCCCACATTTGGCGCCTTGGGAATGTGACTGGAGCTGGTTGACTGATTCGGAAACATGACAACCACCAGAATCATCATGTGATGCAGCATGATGCAGCCAAAGCACACGTCGATTGCGATGTGCGTGTGGGATGGCAGCCTGTGCTTCAAGAGCCCGGTCATGATCTCGCGGCCCTTGCCCTTCCCCTTCGCGCCTCAGGTCTAGTAGAACAAGTCCCAACCATGCGATGGCATGAACTGATCAACCAATCCCAAAACCAAAGCTCCTGTGATTTGAGCCCTGCCAAAACCATCCCAAGAAATCAACATGCGACACACCCACTGCGGCTGGTGCAGGCAAGCTGCAGGCGTACCTCTTCTCGGCTCCCCAGGCAACCACAACGCCAGGGATGCGTGGCAAATCCATGTCCTCCAGACCAGCCATGGGGTCAGCCGGGCGTCAGGCGAGCAAATCCAAGTCAGGCGACTAATGTCAGTGTCAGGCGTATGTCATGTGCCCATGGTCAAATGAAGCGCGATGCCTTGAGCAAGTAGGAGCCAGCACGCATCCAAGTCGGAGACTTTCAAAGCAATGCAAACGTCAGAATGAGTGCACGCAACCCAACTGTAGCAACCTAATTTGAAACTCATGAGTGAGCACAGCCCGCATCGCTCATTGTCATGCATGCAACGCACCCAGTCTCACAACCAACTCCCATGGCACCTCTAGCAGGCAGCCGCGCAGTGTGGCCGCAGCACGCCATTGCCGTGGCTTTGATGTGCACATGTGTTGAACCTGACCTGCTACAACTTCTCAATGTCAATGATAATGCTAACTGTTCTAATACATCTTCATGTGCATCATGTTGTTGCTCTACAACTTCAGTTTGCACGAAAACTAGTCAAACAACAAAGAGTCAGCCGACAAAACAGTGGACACCCTTGAGCACCCGGCCGGGCCCGTCTCTCTCCCACAAAGCGACATTCCGCAACCCCCTTTTTTCCCATTCCCCCTTACATAACCAAAAAAAGGAAAAAAAAATGTCCCAAAGGACCACCAAGCCCTTTTAAGAAGTTCCGCAAAGGGCAGCGCCGAATCTTATGGGCTGTTGGGCTGTTGGGTTGTTGGGTTGTTGCTTTTGCCGGGCTGTTGGGCTGTTAGGCTGTTGGGGTGTTGGAGCTTACCCCGAAGCGGGAAAAGGGCACACCTCTTCAAGAGGGAAAAGGGGACTACGTCTGGGAAACTGCTCGAATTGGATGACTTGTGCGGGTGCTACTTGAAGGTGAAGGGGGTTGAGAGGGGCCAAGTCTCTCCAGGCTGATGATCAACGATTGACAGACCAAAGCCCGAAAGCACCAAAGGCCCGGGGAACTGGGCTGGAATTGGGACCGGTAAACATCTGACTGACGGCCTGGCCAACAGGAAGATGAAAGCATGCCTCAAGTTGCGCAAGCTCAACCTATGCAGCGGCATTCAAAATGCAAACAAAACTCATTCAAAAGGTCAGTCGTGTCTAGTATTTGGCCATGTGTTGCTTTACCTGGCCAAGAAGGCTTGAGCTTCCAGAAGCTGTCCGGACATTAAAAAAGGCTACAAGGATCGGAGCATTCGCGTTTTGTGGCTGAAGTGCGGCAGGTTGCCTTCACCATCAACGCTCTTGAAATCCGCTGAAAGAAATCCCCACGGGCTTCTGTCCCTCAACCGGTTGGCAACAAAGTCCTGATGTCTAACAAATCAAAGGCGAGGTTGGGAGTGAGGGCACGCATGATACCAAGCCGTGGTCCAAACCTAATGGAACCTAAACTTCACAGCCTTGGCGGCAAAAACTTCGGTGTTTGCGGCCCCCTATCCATATTGAACAGAAACCAACAAAACTAAACAGTGAGGTACAAAAGGGAAAGCCCTCTTTTGAGGTGCAAGGACTCGGCCGCGAGGTTGCCATGGGCCACGGTTTCATTCAAAGCTTCCCGGACCCGGAAAAGAAAAAAAAGAAACGGGGCGCCGCATCCAGCGCGACCACCGCGTTCACAAAGGTCGGCACCCCCATCTTCTTCCGGTACTCCGGATCCTCGTTGTCGCGAATCTGTGGTAAAAACCCAGCGGTCAGATCTTCTTGGTTTTGCTTGGGGGTAACCCCCTTTTGCTTGGTCCATGGGGACTCTGGGGGGTTTCGGGGGTTTTGACCCCCCTGGTTGACCAATAGTGGGGGTGCGGGGCATGTGCTGGCTCGCCCCTAGCCAAAGGGACGGACGGAGGGATGAGAAACAACCTTGGCGACCAAAACGGGTTTACACCCATCCCCCATGATAAAGGGAGACAAGCAAAGGTGGTAACCAACTTACCTGACCAAAGCTAGCCAAGTGCCAGTTAAATCAGGCCTGCCCTTGCAAGACTCGCGACGGGAACATGTAATGTCAAACATCCCCTTCCGATTATGGGTGCAAATCATCAAAACGGAGTATCCTGGTACAAACAGCCGCTGTGGAATGCAAAACGCTATAGGCTATAGGGTACAGAAAGCGTAGGCATCGCTGCTGCTACCAGCAAGGGAGCGAAACTGCAGATTGCAACTTTCAAACCTCAAGGGGTCCTAGCATCTGGCAGTTAAAGGTCCGTGTACGAGGCATGGAACTCGCTCCCAATTTTGAATTGCCATGGCGCACAAGCTCCAAAATCAAGCAGGGGCAACTTTGACTAGCCTGAGTAATTAGCGGGCGCCCGAGCAAGCTCAACGATATCAAATAGCTTGGCTTACGCCATCTTGCACCTCCCTCGCTCGGCAATCAGCTGCTTTCATGTGAGGGTCCGTGGTCTTTAGTGCTCCCGGATAGGGAAACTTGCCGTGCAGTAAGGGGGTGTCCGGTGTCCCTTTTTGAGCTTGTCAATCGATTCGAGAGCGCGTGGATCCCATGAATAGGAACTCTGACTGCAAACGGGTCCAACTAATCGGCCGTGCGGCCGCCAAATATCTCGCTCTTTCCTCCTTCTCCATGACAACCTTGCGCAACACAAACCCCACAACTGACTGCTGACTCGTGAAAGTCTGCAAAGGAACGCAGGTAGGGATTGCTGTTGCCGGCCTTTGCTCCAGAAAGCCGGTTAGCAAGCTAAGAGTTGCTAACTGAACATCTCAAGAACATGACCCGGAATCCTGCGCTACGGCCCTCCATGATTCCTACACGAGCTGCTATCCGTAAAGACATGGCAACATATGCCAACCGCTGACTGCAGCAACAGACTCGAGGCATGACGCTTGCACATAAACTCATGCGCGCCATGATACTGATCCGCATCCACTGGCCAGAAGAAGTTTGACCCTTTTGGGCCTTGGCTAAAATGCAAACATCACCCAACGAAGGGTTTTAGTTTGCCAACAAAACGTAAGAATCTCGCTCAATTCCTCGCATTGATTGGGCCCTCCGGGGCCCTGCGTGTGCCTCCAAACGCATATTGCTTTGGGCTCTGGTCCATATCTGTGAACCTTCAGGGCAAGTGAGCCATGGAACTCTCCACATGAAATCTCAAGAGCGGACTTTGGAGCGGAGAAAAACAGGTCCTCGCGAATCCAGGAGGTTTCAAGTATGACTCCAAGGCTTTCTAGGTCATGCCAACGTTACTGCATACACGTCTGCTCATCTTGCCACTTGCGGCCCTTCACTTGGGACCATCTTTTGCGTTGCAGACCTATTAAACGGTATTTTTCACGGGTTCAGCTCACCAAATGCGCACATCGAGCTACTATGGGGCTTCCAAACATAGTCGCCTCCACCTGTGTTCCCGAGGGTGCCTGCCCCCCCCCCCACCAACAGGAAGCTCTCCCACAAGTGGCAACCAAAATGCTGAAACAGGCGTTTTGTGGTGAATTATAGGGACCCCGCTTGGGTATGTGTCAAAACAAGCGACCCCTCAAAATGTGTGGCTTCTGGTTGCATTCCCTTTAAACCAACCCCACAAAGGACACCCTTCAAAAGACCGCACCCGAATACAGCCCTGTACAGTGGCGTGTTTCTTCAAACTGGGGACACCTCAGTTTCCCTTGAAACCCATCCCAAAAAGCAGAATCTCGGGTCTGCCTCAAAAATGGCATAGCTTGACTTTGCAAGCTTTCCAGTGGACCAGGCTAAACAGAAGCTTCCCAAGTCCAACACAAGTTCCTTTGATTTGAAGAGTGAATTGAAACCCATCTGCGTGAATTATAATATTCACCCACCTGTAAGCTGGTTGGGTGGATATTCCCCACATAAACCACCATTTGTTGTGAGGTCGTGTGAGGCCGCTACAATTCACCCAGAACCCCTCCAACAAAAACCAGGTCCGTCCCCCCCCAAAAAAAAAAATCAAACCAACGCAACGCCTCAAACCCTCACGGCGGACGCTGGGAACGGCCCATGGCCGTGGCGCCGGCGTGCCGGGGTTCTCGCCGACGGCCACCACCACGGCCAGCGGCCCGGAAGGGCCCAGCCTCCCCACCGAGGGGTACTGCATGCCTGGCGCGAGCCGCCGAGCCATCGGTTCACTGGGACCTGCCACCAAAAAGAAAAGCGAGAAAAAACACGGGAGTCTATTTTTGTTGGCCACCCCATTTTATGTCCAAGCCCGAAGAGTTGTTAAAGTCCGTGAACTCAGGAAGTGAGCATGGCAACCCATTTTGAGTCACGGAGACTCCAGGTACCTGCTGCGTAGTTGTTTTGAAGGGGAACCAAAGGGAAATCACCCTTAGCCCTTTGGAGCGTTCGCTCAAAAAAGGCAACAAGGTCCAAACATGCCTGACATGGGTTCGGATTGGGGTGGGTTTTGTGTAGGGTTGGGTGGGGTTTGGGGTGCCTTGGACACTTACCCACACCTTGCCAGTACTTTAGGGGCCAACAGCGAGTCGAAGTACATCCTCGCAACATCACCGAAGGACCCTGTGGGTTAGAGTACATTTTGCAACCAAGGACTCCCCAAAAAAAATATCCGACAAGACGGCTTTTGCAGAACAAACTACATTCTCAAAATTTAAACAAAAGTCATTTAAAGGAAACAAGGCCTAAAGCAACGTCTAGAACCCCTCAAAGTGTGAACTTTGATGGAAATGCCAAAACCACAAGACTCCCCCAGTGATTCATCTTTACAAGCCTGGCAGACGACCGGTGCGCACCCCCCCCCCACACAACAGAGGCCTCACAAATGCCATGAAATGACCAAGCGCAACTAAGCTTGCAAACCACTGGGCGTTTAGGGCAGGAGCCCCTTTTGTGGATGATTAAGCCAATTGAATTGGCCCCTGCTTTGCAGACACAGCCAGCATGCAAAGCACTGGGTCGCCATGCCTTTGAACAGCTTAGGGCTTTAAGGATTAGCTTTTGGAACCAAAAGTGATTTCGTTTGAAAACACACACATTCCTTCCGTGGCAAACTTCCGTTGACTGGAGGGGCACAAAGGTCAAAAGCAAGATTCACCCCCAGTGGGGAAAACGGTCCGTCCCCCCTCCATACATTGGTTCCCTTGTACTCTCAAAGATAGCTGTGTGGGAAAGAGTCCCGAGCACCGCCGGAAGCGGTGGACATGATTCCCCATGGAAAACGCCCAACCAGAGCTTGGCCGTGAAACATAAGGAATCCTGGTAGAGGAAAGATACAGAGCCCCGGGGGTTCATGTTCAGAGAGCCCAAAGGAAAAGTCTTCAGGTGAAGTCCACGACACACGCGTGCGCGCCTAAGTAGCGTGGACCGAACTCCTTTTGCCAGAGTTTCTGCCCGTCGCTGAGGCGATAGGCGGCCAGGTGCCCGGTGATTCCTTCCAAAAACTGGAAAAAGGCGCTGGGCTCTTTTGAACCTTCAAGACGGCCATGGGTCAAAATCCTGTACCCCCAGTGAACATCCCAATCCCCACTAAAATAGGTTCTAAAATGGGTGGTGCACCTACCCCAAAAAGGTACCATTGGTTTCCCACAGCCGCATTTCAGTTTCGGAGCCTTTCCAAAGGCAGAGCCTTTCCAAGAGCTTTCGAACACTTGCGAAGTTGACTGGAAAAAGCGCGAGCTGGTGGCCCCTTGCGGGTCGCAGGGTTCCAGGTTCCTTGGCCGAATCGTGCAAATGGGCCGTTGGTGAAATCAAAAAACCCACCTCCGCCAACTCCCTGAACTCGCGGAGGGCTTTCTGGGGCTTCCCTTCAAGCACAACACCCTGGCGGCTTAGCGCCAATGTCGCCCTAGATTACTCAACCCAGATTGAGATGTTCCCAACGTGATCCCAACTCCGTCAATCGAAATCAACAATTGGGTGTATTCTCAACCGGGTTTCCATTCACCCACCCCCTAAGAAAGGGTCTCGGTCACGGAAGAAAAGGCCAAACCCAACTATCGATCCCTCAGCTTCCCTCTAAGCCACACCCATCGACCCTCAAGAACCCCAGTAGATGCCGTCCCCACCGTTTGGGAGCATGTTGACTTTAGGCCGAGCGAATGCTTTAGATATTTTGCTCGAGCGAAACAATCCGAGAATGGGTTTTGCCAGGCTGATTTTGGGGTTTCTCTTGATAGGGGCAACTCGAATTGGGTGGTTTTTGCTTTTGGTTCCTCCTTTGAACGGACTCCACAAAGGACGCCCTCAAAAAAGAACCCGAATACATCCCTGAGCTGGGCCCCTCCAAATATGTTGAACATATTTTGTTTTGGGGAGGGGGGCTCCGAAGGTGGCTACAAAATGAAATCAGGATCCCAGTCTTAACTCAGGCCCATTGTAAAATCTCAATCTGCTTGCGAGAGGGGAAGCAAAAGCCAGGAAGAGTCAACCTCAGTTGATTGCAATCCGGGCGGGGTATTTAGGCACTGACTAACACCAGGATCACGGCCGATAGGTTTGCAGACATAGTCCAAACATGTCTGAAAGGGGTCTGATCACGGAGTGGTTTGGTAGGGGTGGTCATCAACTCCCTCCCTTTCTCTCCCTCGCTCCCCTCGCTCCCTCGCTCCCTCGCTCTCTCTCTCTCTCTCTCTCTCTCTCTCTGTCTCTCTCTCTCTCTCTCTGTTCGTAGTCTTTGCATAACCTCCCGAACTAGGCGATGTCCCTTTGCATTCCTTCAACAATGTGGTCAGCTTTCGGGCCCAATTCGCTTGGGCCCCTCAAGGTGTTTGCGATTCAGGGGTTCGCCAAACTAGCTTTGAACCGCTTTGAACCCTGTGCTTCCTTTCAAGCCAGTAACTGCAAGAGAAGAAGGAAGAGAGAAGGATAGAAGCATGTCTTCGCAGTCATGCCTTGGCCATCGTGTGGCCTGCGGCCCTTGCTGACCGAGCCAGGCGCAAAAAGAGAAACTTCGATGGGCCTCCACTTAGGTGTAAAAGGCAAGTATTGTACGTCCAATGGTCAACCGGGCAACCGGCTTGGAAGTACCCCATAGCCATGGTTCTTATGCTAACCCGGATTTTTCCTTTCATCTGGATGAAGAAATGGGGTGGTGTTGGCAGTGAAGGATTCCAAATGGGGGCACCACCCCTATTCGTCGACCACAAGAAATCGTCGACGGATCGCTATCCAGGCCTGAGGTATTGCCCTTGATGATGCCCAGGGCGGCCTGCAAAGAGTTGTCGTCCAATGTGTTGTACTCGTGGTAGATGACCTAAGATGTCAGCGGAATGCCGAGCATCCAGCCCGAACACCCACCAAACATGCTCTGGGCATGGGTCAAAATAGCACCAAAATGGTGGTGTTCCTCGTGTTTTTTTTTGAACCCACCAGAAAGGGCGAACTGGAAAAAACAAACGCATCTCAGTGAGTCTAACTATTCCACACGACAAGCCGATCGACGGTGCATGTCCCTATTGGCTTGCCTAAGCATCACTTAGAACCTCTCACGGGGCCGATGGCCTCATCTTGCTTAAGGTGGTCATATATGGGCAACACAGGGTCCCAAGCAACCTAAACGGACTGCCTGGAGCAAATAAATGCCGTTGGAAAAGCTTGTTGTTCTGCAATATGGTTGCGCTAGCAGATAATGCTCAATGCCTTGGTCACCTACAGGTAACCTCTCTCTCCCAAAACTGCGTGAGTTCTCCAAAAAAGGCCGCTACGCCGGTTGAGCAAAAAAGGAAGCCATTGCGTCTTGACCATTTTCTCGAGAGCCGAGCGACTGAGAAACGCCAAACCGACCAACCCTCGCAGCCCGCCACGAAACCCTCCCCACCAACCCCCCCCAAGCCCTCCTGCCCATAATCGACCAGCGGTGTGTATCAACGCTGTGTTTTCCAGCAGCCGCATCCTCAAAAGCACTGCGCCGATCAGGGGGCAACGTTGGTCTCATACTACCCATTCCTCCTCCGCCACCCCGAAAAAAACAAAAACAAAAATGGCTTCCCGAGTTTCCTGCTAGTCGGGTGGCAACGGCAACGTTTCACAAACTGCCAAAAGGGTTCGACTGAAAAGCATAAAGTGCAGGAAACCAGGAAGTGAGCCAAACAGCTCGCCCGCGCGCTACTCCAAGGCACTCCGTTGGGCCCCAGCGCAGCACCCCCAGTGCCGCAGAAAATGGGGCTTCCGCTCTGGACGCCGGCCTCGGGCGAGTGGGGGGTGTTCACATGGCTGTGGGTCCAAACCAATGGTACCATTTGGGGTAGGTGCACCACCCATTTTAGTCTATTTTGGTGGGAATTGGAATGTTCACTGGGGGTACGGGGTTTTGACCCATGGGCACATTGAAAAAACCCTGCAGGTTCCCCTTTTTGAGCTCAAAACGAGCTCCCTCAAGAAACAAGCACGCCAATCTGCGATCAAATCGGGGAGTTCCGGACTCCCCAAATAAGCCACCTTCCTGAAATGCTTGTTACCCCGAATCGGAGAGCTCGTCCTGAGTTTTCGGCGCGATTGACCCGCATACCAAATGAGCCTGCAATAATCTTGACCCGAAAGCTAGAAATGGAAAGCAAGATCATTCCAGCCCCATCCCCGCTGTCATATTTAAAAATCCTTGATGGACCGATTGGGAAAGCTTCCCTGTGGTTTCTCTAAGTGAAACAAGGGAATCCTTCTTAGCGTTAATCCCATGTTTAGTGGGAAGCCCACCAAACATGTAGAGAGCGCCACTTCACAAATGGGCATTAGGCGCACCACAGCAAACAACCCAAACCAAACCCAAGCATGATGCAACTAAATGCTGCTTCTTGGCTGCTTTGTTTTTAGCGCACTTGCAATCTTTGCAGTACACCAAGCGCCAAACATCAGAAACAAGTTCGAAGAGCTGACCAGCCTTTTTGTCTTCATGTTGGACCTTGTTTAATGTGCCCCCCCTCAACTTGACATATACACCAGATGCGATATGAATTAATTGCGGTTCATGGGTGCAACACAGAGCTAAAAAATCAGAAGAAAAAACACGTTCCTCGACTATCAGCCACCAAGTCCAAGCACACAACTGATTCGGAGATGCTCTCAAGTTAGCCACCTCACAAGTTGAAAGACGGGCAAAGTCGCCCTACAATCTGGGGGCGTTCTTCTAGGTCCTCCAGTAGAGAGGTTAGAATAAGGGTACCTTATTTTTTTCTGTGGTCTAATTTTAGAAAGGGGAACCCTCCCCCAACAAAGAAACGGTAAAAGTTGGCAGCTAGCTGGGGGACCTTGTCAAAGTAGCTCCCAAGGGGGACATCCCATGGCTCTGACCGGTGCCTTCCACAGGAGCTTCCCCCCGAAGGCGATGCGGTACACGGTGCCTCTGTCCGAGCTCGCAGCCCGTTGCGGAAGCTCGACACTTTGAAGAACACTACACATCGCAAACTCAAGTTCGCCTGGTGTTGAACAAACAACATGTTTTTTTGTTTTTACTATTATTATTATTAGTTTTTTAAAACAACTAAAGACATACACGTAAAGTTGAAGGGCTGAAGGGCATAAGTGTTATGCGGATCCAGCCACCATGAAGCCAACACAATATTGTTCAGCACCTCCAAAGGGTCAATCCAATGAGTGGATACGCCGCTCGCGTTCAACTAGAGCAAGGATAGCAATCAAGAATTCGACAACCTGAACAGTGGGGCTCCCTCTTTTGGCGGGCAACTCGACGCACAGATTTGGCTGCTGATGTTGTTCATCGAGTTAGCCACATTACCAGTGAAGTGTTTGGCCATTTCCCAGTCAGCTAAGTGGTTTAAAGTTTCAGCATCACCAAGGTGTTTCAGAATATAATTCGGCCTCACAAGCTTATGCCAGAGTTTGGCTTCCAAGCGGAAGAGTAAACAAATGTGTCCCAATTGCAACCGTTGTACCCGACTCTTGACAAATGAGTTGTGATCTCCTTGCTTGGACCTGTGCATTGCTTTCCAAGTTCCACCCTACACATGCTTCCGGGAAAAAACAACAACAATACATAACAAAACGCTGCCTCAAGCCAAGCCAATCGCGATGCAGTCGCGCTAGCCTACAGCAGTTGCTTGTGAACCCGCCTCGCTGACTATCAATCTTTTGCATGAATAAACATCATTCACAAATAGGTCCCTTCTGGTCGCAAGGCTTAGCATCTGCATCCCTTGTTTGAACTGCAGGATCCATCTCACTCGAACTCTAGTCCGGCGAAGGCACCGCATCCAGAACCGACGACCAAGGTCTCATCCCCGGGATACGCCGGGGAAAAGTTCCAAATGAGTTCATCACCAACCTCGGAGGACGCGGATCGTCACCCAGATCCGGCGCAAGCGAAACCTTTGCTTCCTTTGGTTAGGCCTCCCTTCCCATACTTGGAATCCTAGCCTCTCCAAATGCATGACTCCACTTGCCCAGCGACCTGGTTGAAAATGCTGCCGGAACCACCGCTGGGAAACACGTGCTCTGTGCATGACAAACACATTTGTGCAAGGAAACATGTATGGGAAAGGTCATGGCTTTGCGGGGTCGCGCAGTAAGCCTCTACCGCCGATCCTGCGAGCTTGGAACTTGCGCAAATCGGCCCTTGCGCGCATGGCTTGCGTAGGTTGGACTCACAACGAGGCCCGTGAATCCCTGCCAAAGACCTTTGTGCGCGTTTGGCTGCGACGGGGGAAATGCAGAAAGCTCCCTCGAAGACGTGGCGCTCAATAGGGGGTCCGGAAAAGAAACGCTCCAGCCCACAGCGGGTCGCGTTCAAACTTACATCATGTGGGTGATTTGGCAGAAGAAGAGTTGCCCTGACATGGGCATGAACTGCTGGAATGTTCATGTGGGTGTGGGTCAAAACTAAACCACCAGGGGACCACAGGTGTTAGTCATTGGTTCCATTTACCAGGGTTACATTTTGGGTACCCATTTTTTGACCCAAAGCCATGTTCCAAAAGGGAGGCTCGCGACATACATCACCACCCTGGGAACTGCGCAGGCATGTGCAAACACAACATTTCCCCACACAAGGCTCCTCTGATTCCGCGGGCAACTCATGACTACGGGGCATGGAGAGACAATGTTGGCCGAGAAGGTTCTACTGGGATCGTCTTGGCGAAGCCAACTAAAACCAATCAGCTGCCCACGCCTCCAAGCAAGAACAACATGAGAAAGTCATGGCACCGCTGGAGATCTGGCTCTGGGCAGCACTGATGACTCATGTGATTGAACATCTGTCTGCACATTGTGCAATCCCAAACACCTGAAGAAAGGGATCCCTCAGTCAAGGACCTTCATCATGGTGAGCTCGTTCTACCTTCAAGTAGAACTTGGCATGGAACCTGGCGCTGAGGGCGCCGCGTAATCCCAAAGGAAGCTCCCGTCTTTGGTGCTGATGGCCATCCTCGAAGCAGTCAGCACGGTCGGACCCTTAACACATTGTAATATTTCATGTTGCCTATTTTAGACAGTTTAGTTATATTATATGTCAACATATTCAACATATAAAGTGTTTATACGGGTGAATTGCCACATGTTGACACCACTCCTTAAACCAACCTGCTCTTGCTAACCTCTTTGCCGGGGACCAAAAACGAGCGGCCAACGCAGCCACTCCAGCCCCTCCACAGATTTCCTTTGGAAGACCGCCAGCCAGTTGCGGAAAATGACATGTTCAATGAAATTGCTCCCCCGTAGTTCGTCCCTTCAGATTGTACACCGGCGCAATCCGAAAAAGAAAGCTCCAGGACCCACCAACTTCTACCCAAAGGTGGTTTGGTCACGTGGTTGTCGAAACCCTTGGCTGTGTTGCAGGGGTTCCTTTCCTTTGTGGCTTGGGCGGACCTGCTCGCCCTCTTTGCAAGGACCGAGAGGGGGCCAAACGCCTGTTCATCAGACCTTGCAGCCTGAGTGAGGTCTGATTGGCTCAGCTGTCTGAGCTCCGAAATTGACCAAGCTGCATCCAAGGAACATGGCATTATTGCCGCCAGGATTGTGCACCGATTGCGGAAGGATCAGCGTATCCTGGGATCGTGCGACACAGTGCCGAAGAGCTTGGCGTTGGCTTCAATGAACGCTCCCGCCCTAATGCGTTCATTACTCGCATATACGGGGACAAACCGTGCATCCCCCTTAAAAAGGATTACCCCTGATACAACCATTGGGTGCAGGATGGGTGCAGGTAGATTGCAAGAGCACCGCTTCCTGAGGTGGTTGAGACCTTGAATCGGCAATTCCCTGTCGCCTCAATGAGCCATGGGGCCCACATGCAAGCGCAGCTATGTCGTGGTGCTGAGCAGGGAGACGACCCGTCCTACACTACATGAGCGAACTGTATTTGAAGCACTCCGTTGCAATTTGTGTGGCGAGGTGCCATGTCCCATGGGAAACTGGAAGCACGGGGGTTCGGGGACAGGGGCGTTGGATCCTCTAACAGACTGGTCGATGAGGATATGACTTGTTTGCAGATACCCCTGTTGGTGGTTTCCAAGCTAGGCCAAAAAGGAGAACCACCATGCTGAGGTCCAAAGATTAAAAAGCAAACCCAAGTAAGACTCAAAGCCTGGCATTCACCTGGCCTACCCAAAGCCACGTAATGAACTTAATTACAGCCCGGCTTCGCTTGCAAAATGGTTGTCCACTACCCTGGTTCTGATAGTTCACGTGGACAAGGACCGCTGACCAAAGCAGTCGTCATATATATATATATGTATGTGTGTATGTGTATGTATTCATATGCACAAATATTTAAACTTCCAGGCTCATTTTCGCAAGCCTTGCCAGGCCGCATTCGCAACCATCAGGGTCTGCGAGTCACCGGTATATGACCGTCCTGGCGTGGGCTCCATAAACGGAGCGGAATGTTCCTTACAAGGATTCCCTTTACGGCTTATTAAGCTGCCTATGACACTCCTTACGAAGCTTCGTGGACCCTTTTCAAGGCGCCTTAATTGCAAGTCTCCTTATTCGGCTCATTGTGCAATTCCTTCTGCAGCCGCTTGTTTGGTCACTTGGGGGCTCAAACAGCTTACGAAGATCTTTATAAAGCTCCTTGTCAACTCTTGGATAGAAACTCACTCTCTCAAGAAAAAGGGGGCGGTGAGCACGTGCATAAAAATATATGCGTGGCAGGTTGTCAAAATGTATGTTCCTGAAACGGCCAGTGATTTTGGATTTCCAAGCGTGCCACCTGCCTTCAACAAGATTGTGAGCACGAAGCACTGACACGCGCAAACACGTTGCCGCAAGGCCACAGCTCTCACAGCAAAACGGCAAACCGCCGCGGCGGCCCAATGTTTTTTTGCTCCGAAGAGCCACTGCTGCTGCAGGTGTAGCTGGAAGGTAACTCGTGCAACTTTTTGCATTATAGCTTCTAGGAAGCTGACCAACTGTACTCAAGGCCAGACAGCGCTGGCCACAGAGGTTCCGCGTGATACTGTCCAGCTCCCTGCGCCTTGCACTGTCGCCCTTCTATCGCTTAGCCTCTCGGCTGTTGTCACGGAGGCATCCCCGCCAGCACCTCGCAGTTTCTTCCTCTCAGCAGCTGGGCCACGCTCGCGCCCTGTAACCACCTCGTTTTAGGACCAGCTGCTGAGCAGCTCCCACTTGTTTGCACCAATCACGCAAGCTCCAGCACGCATAAGTCAGTACAGCAAAGACACAGTAAACAGAGCCATCCATTCTTGAAAAGTTCTGCTCTGGAAATTGGCTCCATTACTCGCAAGTTCCATTTTCTGGCCGCACAAGGACAGTATAGGTTGAAGAAGCTAAAATGCTAGCGCGACACTCGCTCGAAGCTAGCGCATAGGTGGTGACCCGTTGGTGTTTACAATCGTGCTGCCTTGAAAAGCACTTGAGAACTCCTTACCCGGATGGATGTTCATGTACTTTCCCACATGTCTGCTGAGCATGGACTTTTGACAATTCATCATAAACAAAGAAAAAATATAGATACAAATATAATTAGATATCTATATATACGCCCAATTCCGGGTTTGCCCGGGCCCGACCCCCGCCGCGGCTGGCTTCTCTTGTCTGCAAGCCCCAAGCCCCAAACCATAAAAACTAAAACCACAAGCCCTAAAACCATAAACCCTAAACCTACGCCCCAAAACCATAGACCCTAAACCTTATCCCCAAAACCACTCCGTAAAACCGTAAGACCTAAGCCCTAGCCCTAAAACGCACGCCCGAACCTTAGCTCTAAAACCATAAACCCTAAGCCGAAACCCTAAAACCATAAGCCCTTAAACCATAAGCCCTTAAACCATAAACCTGAAACCTTAAGCCACGACCCCCCAAACGATAAACCCTAAACCTCAGCCTAAACCCGAAGACCGTAACCCGGAAAACGATTAACCCTAA